TGGGGAGAAAGGATAGAGAGCGGGGTGGAGAGGGGAGGGGCAGGAGGGCGGGGCAGAAGTAGCAAAATGGCAGGGAGAGGAGGGGGAGGGGAAATCGATGTTTTCTTCTTTCTCTTTTCTTTCTCTTTCTCTTCATCCTCCTCTTCCTCCTTTCTCCTTTATTGCGGTCCTATCGCACTTGTTTGGTCCTTCCTCCTCCGCTTCCTCCTATCGATCCTCTCGTTTTCATCCTCTCGTCTCTTTGTGCACCCATCCTGTCCTTCGCCTATCCTCTTTGCGGCGTCATTCGTCCTGTTCGGGGCCGAAGAGGCGATGGTGAACGCCTGGTCGGAATGGTGTATTTCGCCAGTGCTGGTCCTGGCCGGGGGATGATGCTGGGCTGCACCCTTGCACCGCCGATAGCAGCAGGGGGTACTTGTATGGCGGCAGCGGACACATTGGTTCGTCGTAGGTTTTGTACCGGTGGTTGGGTGCCAGCATCAGGAGGGCGGAGGAGCCTACAGAGTGGTGGCTGCCCCATGCGGCACTACCCGCAACAGAAATAACCGACCTGACGCGTTCAAGGTCGCTGCAGTGCAGTCCTGCAGCTTCCTCGGGCTCCATGTCCTCCTCTGGCGCCCGCCGCCGCCCACCTGCCGCGGCCAACGCCGGGCCGGACCTAGAGTCCGGGCCCCCAAGCCCTGCCCTCCCCGGAGGTCGCGCGTCTGATGTAGGTCCAGCCAGCCCAGGCCCGTATACCATATGTGTACCAGGCTGCCTACCTCAAAGACTCGAGTGATCGCGGCCAAGGTAGATCGCGGCTGCATCTTGATCAGATAATAAAATGAGTCATGGTGTTTGCTCGATATGAGCACTGCTTAACGAGTACCCATGCCAATGATGATAGTGAACAAACAAAAAAAGGTTTAATTTTAAGATGCACTATCAAAATATATAGAAATTTCTGCACTCTGCTCACGTCTTATTTTCATTGCGACCTGGGGAAACGTTGTCTCCTTTTGGGAACCTCATGAAAAATGAAATTAAATGAAATGAAAATAAAATGTATGTGACTAAATTGATGGCAACGAGCAGCTGGGGAACGTTCGTTTTAAAATTTCATTTTTTTTCAGAAAAGAAACAGAGAAAGAAAGGAATTTAGTTTGTTTTTTTGTTTTCGTTAAGGGCAGCAGAGAAGTGCAGCAACGAGACGGCGTTTGTGTGTTTCCGCCTTTCACGGCGAACATCAGAGGATCGAAATACATGCAGGAGCGAAATGCCAACTTTCACAAATCATCTTAGTTTTCTTGAATGAGTTATATTCCACACCTAAAAGCTTACGAGGATTGAAATAATTGTTCGTGGTTGTTTTTTTCGTTTCGTTTCTTGTATTTTTTTAAAAAAAGCTTAGGAACGAAGATTTCGTTTTTTGGCGTGGATGTTGTTTAACCTGTCTTTGCGTCATATCATTCACACAGTGCTGCCCTCTGTGAGTGATTTTTCGTATGACGTCTCGTTACACACATTAGGCTGTAGTCCCGTAGTTTTGATGTATCTGTATTTATTTCTCTAAATAGCAATTATTTTCCTCAGCGTCTCTGCGAGAGTAAGTGTGGCTCTTTTCTTAACACACAAGATTCTACAATTTACCTGTTAATATATATCGGTTCTGTATTATTGATCACAACAGAAAAATAGAGGGTAACCTCTCAGCCGAAACTTTAGGCTACAGCAGAAAAATACAGTCAACCATAAAACTCATTCATGCCTTGCCTGTCAAATCAGATTTAAGTTCTCTCCCTGTTCCTCTGCATCTATCGAAAAATCTCCCCAACTCTACGAAAATTTGAATAAGCAGCAGATATGAATGTTAGACTAGACTTGTCTTTCAAATTTTCCATTCATTGCAGGTTGTATCTTTGTCTCTGGATTATTTCAACTGTTATTTTCCAAAATGTTTTGGAAATACAACACTACTAATTCAAATCACTTGGAAGCATTACTAAGCAAACCAGTAAGTGTTTCATTATTGAACTTGTTCTGTGATGTTGTCAGGTGACAAGTTGTGATCCCTAGTAATCTTTTACAGGATTTGACCCTACAAGAACTCCTGGATGATGAGGACATTTTGCAAGAATGTAAAGTGCAAAACAAAAAATTAATCGATTTGTAAGTATGACTTCATAAAACCTTCTCCCTTGTTTACTTCGTAGAACTCACTTTAATTTTACTACTTTTAGCTTGTGTCGACCAGAAGTAATGGAACAGTTGGTAACATACACAACAGTGGAACCACCAGCAGATCTGAATGAAAAAATAAGGTTCAAATACCCCAACGTTGCGTGCGAACTTTTAACAAGTGACATCCCTGCCATAAATGAACATCTTGCAGCTGACGAACCACTAAGCAAGCTTTATGCCTTCTTAGAGGGAGAGCCACCACTAAATCCTCTCCTTGCTTCATTTTTTAGTAAAACTCTTGGTATTCTAGTTGCTCGCAAAAGTGAACAGGTACAACCTTACTGGTAGCACAACTATGTGATCTGATCAATTACTAAAGAAAATAAAAACTCATTATTGTTTTACATTTTGTTTTCCAGAATTGGTATCTGTACCAGATAACATGTTTAAAAGTCTTGCAGTTCTTACAGTTAAAAGAAAACTGCATTCCACTTCTTTTAAACCATTTAGGCACCTCTGCTATCATGGATTTGATGCTGAAACTTATTACACAGATGGAAGGAACAGATATCAGACAAAACCTCATCAATGTACGCTGAGTAAACTTATTTCCATTATTTTTTAGGTGCGCGTTAACAATTTTTCTTACGTTTTCTTTTTATTTGTCTTTTGCAGTGGTTTGAAACCCAAAGCGTTATACCATCATTGATAGCACTTTTGAAGCCAGATGTTGATTCCGAACGTCATTGTAATGTGTCTCAACTGCTTTCTGATGTAATACGGAAATCAAGAGAGAACCTAATGAATTCTCCAGATCCAGATCCTATCCTTATCACGTTGGAAAAGTAACAAACCGTGACACCTCTGTGTTTGACTATCATTTGTAATACAATTTTATCAAGTCCTTTTCTTTTTTACCTTTAGACAAGAGACTGTGGCAGAACTTTTGGACCACATGTTAAGTGGAGAGACAAAAAGTGAATCTGGTATTGTTGGTGGTATTGGTGTGCTTTTAACCTTGATTGAAGTTCCACAACCAAGGTAATTTTTATTATTTATTGTTTCTATTACTGTTCTTGAACTCACTATTTTGATCTATCTATAAGTTCTAATTTCTATATCACTTTTTAGGATTCCTGAAACAACATACACTGATGAGACAGTACAAGTTACACAAGAGGAGGAAATACCACCACCTTCACCGCCTGTGCCTCCTGTCGTACACACAACTATAGCTGCCATTTTACCAAGACTCAAAGATTTCCATGCCCTGCTGCTTAATCCTCCTCAGGTAACTTTAGATCAAGCCAAGTCACATTTACACATTTTCTTCTACTCTGTGGCACCTTATTTTAAATTCATAATTTCAGAAACCACCCGTGAAGACTACTGTGGGAACTTTAGATCCTCCTCTTGGAAACACTCGGTTGCAAGTGGCAAGACTAGTTGCTGCACTCATAGCTGTCAACAATCCTGCCATTAATCAAGAATTGGCAAATTTGGGTACCATTGAAGTGTTGCTGGTAATACAAATTTTTCCAAATATTTTAAAATCTATTGACATTGTTATTTTTATATTCTTACCAATACCAATCAATATTATTTTTCAGGACTTGTTTTTCAAATATCAGTGGAATAATTTCTTACATACACAGGTTGAACAGTGCATAGCTTCTGCCTTGAAGCATCAAACTAAAGCTTCAGGTGAAGGAGATCCACAGGTTCATTGTTTAGTTGAAAATGTAAGAAATTTTTATCCTTAACTTTATTTTAGATCTAAAAGTGATTGGTTGAATTATGTTTCTAGACGTCCAAAGTTTTCATATACATATATTTAATTAACTGTATTATATATCTTGTGTTCGTTTTTAGTTACTTGTGAAGTGTGACTTGTTGAGGAGGATATTAGATGCCTGGGAAGAAAATGAAGCAAACCAGTAAGTTTGGTTTAGAATGTCTCTTTTATTAGATTGCTGTAGATCTGTAGTTTTAGCTTATCACCAATTTGCCTTACTTCCTTGATTCCAGGTCAAAAGAGAAAAGCCAACGGCGAGGTTATATGGGCCATCTAATAAAGATCGCTAATCTCGTTGTAGACCAGGTGGCCAAGTGTTCTTTGAGACCAATTTTGGTGAAACAGTTGTCACCAGAAGTTCTTGGTGTCTGGGAAGAGTTTGTTAGTTGCACCTTAAGTGAAATAAATAAGACGCACAATATTGCATTGGTGAGTACCACAGATATAAACATGATTGATTACTTGGGTGTTTGTTTTTGTCCCTTGCTCATCGTCTTTGTTTACTATTTTTCAGGGAGGAGCTCCACCCTTACAATCTATGGAATTAGATAAGGAAGAAGCTAATTACAAACACGTTGCTTTCCAACCCGACACATCACAAGTGAGTATTTCACATTTTTGTGAGATTTCAGTTTTATGTAGTCCACATGTTTTTACTTCATTTTTCTTTTCCAATTCAGGCATTTGCTGATTACCAAGTGCAAGAAATGGCACCTGGCTTTACTGAGAACTATGGTTTTCATGATAATGAATTCAATGATCCTGAGGATACTCTACAGTGAGTATCTAAAATTCTTCTTTATATTTGTGTCAAAGAAGTACCTATTACAGATAGTTTGGGACTATATGGTCTATTTTATCTACTGGGTCTCTAGATCTACCTTGTCAGCATTTCCTTTTGCATATTTACATTTTTTTGAGTCAGTCACTCCAATTTTGTTTTCTCGTCATATGTGGTCTTTTTAATAATTTATCTAAACTCTGAAAACTTGACATATACGACATATATTCACACAGCTCGTCGGTGGATCGCCTTCCTGAGATGTCAGTTGCTCTAAATGAGGATGTGGACAGACAATATGAATGGTTTAAGCATGTCTGTACAAAGAATTTGCGGTCTCTTGAAGATGCTGAGGAAAGTGCTTGGGAAGATACCAACCTAGGCAGTTTTCAAACCTCTGAAAATGAATCTAGGTACAAAACCCCAATATTTTCTGTAGTCAGTCAAGGATTAGATTGGAAATTGGAAGTTATATTCCTTGGTTTCATTGTCTTTCTAATTTGAAAATGTTTTTAATATTGCATGCTCATGGTCGCTGTTTTGTGCTAACCAAGAACTGTGAGCATGTGTTCATTTTAATTTAGAAATGGACAAATGAGAGTAATTTCACTAACTTTCTTGACTTATGAGAACCAGGACAAAACAAGTTAACATTTAATTCAACGTTTCTTTGGGTAACAAGATTTAAAAATATTTGCATTTACAAATTATTATTACTAATTGTATGCAGTAACAATAATGCTTCTATTTGGAATACCATTTATGCCTCGGCGTTATGCAATCAATATAATTTAAATTGTTAAAACAATCTACAGCCAAATTCGTGTGTACATTATTGCAGATTTTTACCACAGTTAAACATACTAAATATTGTGTAAGGGACCTTTCAAGTAGAATCTTGAACTAGAAACCTAACCATCTCTATGTGCTGATAAGATCACCCACAAAATAAGAATGAAAAACCCCCTACTAATTCAATTCATGTGGTGTCTATTTGCTTATAGTGTGTTTGCTGCTTCCCATTTTGACCCTCTTGTGTTAAAAATTATTTTTGTGAAGGGAATCCCATTTAACATTTATATTTTAATTTCCTCACAGCCGATGGAAAATGGATAAGGATCAAAGTAGCTCAGATGAAGAAGAGGAGGATGATGATAAAGAGGAAAATGAAATGAGGAGGCCTACCAAATCAGACACTAGAATGGATGTGGATGTCAATGACAGTGAGTTAATGTCTTTACTCCTTTCACAATTTTTATTCCACTGTAGCTGCTGCCTTTTAATATTTGTTGTTGTTGCTAGTGTTATGTTTTTTACAATTCCCCTCCTTTCTTCTTTTTTAAAAGTTTGGTCATCAGGCGCTGCAACCCTTGACACTATAGCTGATTTCCAAAATCCGTGGGGTTCAACGGGACCCGCACCTGTGCCGGCTGCCGAAGCATTCGGCTCCTCAGATGCAGGCTGGGCTGATTTCTCTAGCTTTGAAACAAATTTTAGCTCAAGCACACAACTTAACGACGGTCAAAAATCTCTTGAATCAGCAGTGTTTGGTGGTGGTGCCACTGTGCAACCTGTTTCAGATTCTGGAGGTTTGTAATTGAATTTCAAAATAAATTATTGTTATTTAGAACCTTTCATTTTTAGACATGTGAATTATCTCATTTTCTATGCTTCAACAGATAAGGAGGTCCATGAAGAGAAATTTGAAGCTCAAGCTCATACCATTGAAAAAGAATCACCTGAAACCAAAGATTCAGATGAACCCGAGCTCCATGGAAGTGAGTCAAAACCGAATTCTGCTGGCGTCAGGTATTAAAGCTGAAAGTGCTGATATCCCTTTAATATCGTGGGTGTAGTATGGTTTAAGTTAAAAACTTGTTGCAGTTTTATGGAAGCTGATGCTAATGCTAACCCAACCTCCAGTGCTGATGACGTAACTTCAACAGCTACAGCCATGGTTGATGAAGTAGCAACTGCTGCTGTTGCTGCAGTTCGAGTGGTGGTTGCTGATAAATTAGGTTTAGATAATCAAAGGTACGCAAATTAATCTTGTAGACTGCTGTTAGTTTTAAAAATGCACAGTCTCAGAGAAAATGTGTTTCAGATTTTTAGGAGTGGTTCAAAATGACAGTGAAACAGCCGCACAAAATGATTCTGAAGCTGTTGTTGATGAGCCTGTGCCTTCAGAAGAAGCAGAAGAACAAAGGTACTAAAATTTGATAATTATTTGGGTGTTCTGTGCTGGATTCCAGATTAAATGTAATTTGTAATATTTTCTTTTAGGGAGGTCGAGGGCACTGTTGCTGATGATTTATCAAGTAAATCTGCCTAATTACCAACTTTTAAAAATCTAATCACCTCTAAGCTGAACTTGGACATGGATCTCATATGAGGCATATAACCAATGAAAACCATTCAGTGCATATCGCAAATTTATCTGTGTTTAGTAAATGATATTGTGTTGTAAATATAATAAATATGTTTGTGTTTCATGAAGTAATGAATATTTGATAAATGACTGGCACACTATGTAAAGTGAACTTTAAATAGTTCTCGCATTCAAACTTAATGGATGATAATACTTAAGGAAAAAAAATGGTCACCACCCTTTGGCAGTTAGTTGAGGTTAATGTCAAGCGAATGAATTATTGTACTGAGCTGCTTATTTTGTATGTTTTGTACTTAACATCAAGATCTCTTTGCTCAAATCTTTGTGTCAGACGAAAGACCTGGATGCCACTCTAATCTTTGGTGTGATAAACAACTTCTAAATTTTTCACAAGGTGTTGTAAAGATGTGATTGTTTTCTAATGTATTAAGCTTATCATGAGTTACCTGTAACTTGTTATGTAAATCAATTTTGTATTACCCAAAGTGGTTTTGATCACCTTTTTAGTACAATACTGGTCCTGTGAAACCATTCTATAAACAGAAATGGAAGTGGAAATTTTAAGCTTTTGGAGAATGGCATGCTGTTAGTTAATTCTGCTCTTAAAGCAGTGTATTGTGATATGCTTCAACCTGCTTGTCTAATGTATTATCTGTGAATCCTTCTGGTACCAAATTTGTGCTTATTAGGTATTATGGTAAAAGCCCAAAAGACCTATTTTTGTGACTCAACCTCTGTCAAGTAAGACACTATGAGAATATAGCTGTACATTTATCTTGAAGCTCGATATTTACCTGTAAAAGTGAGATTAGCAAAGCATGGTTATTATACCTGATTTTTGAAAATGTATTATTTTTATCTATTGGAATTGGGGAAAAAATATGTACCTTGTAAGGGTAAGTACAGTATCTGACGTTTTTAAATTAGATTTTGTCTTGAGAGACGTTTTTCATGATTTTATGCAAGTGGTCATTCATTCAGGATTCTTCCATATTGTTTGAAATACACTCTAATTTGGTTTTATTTTAAAAATTCTTATTCATTTGTGTCATTTAAGTCCTTGTGCTACACATGCTTTTGTTCAGTTTGTGATGGATATTTATGATTACTGTGTACATATTTGTTTTTAAACTTAAGTTGTTTATTGGAATTGAAATTTCTGTGTTATCATATTATATTGTAAGAAGAGTTAGGTATTGCATCAGTGTTGGACACTGTGTAATCTTTCAAGCAGTCACACTCTCATGTACTGTAGCATTGTGAGGCTTCATATATTTTTCTGTTTTGCAACCTGTTCATCTAAAAGGTCGAGGGCTTGTAATTTCCTAAAGTATCCAATTGCATCAGAGCCCTTTATGTTCAACTGAGCGATTGACAGACCAAATAATATTGTTTCCGATTTTCCTTGTAACTTGTTTGCCAGTAAATTTGACTGAAAACTTAGTGTCAATAGTCTTATATAGGAATGTTCTCAATGGTGGTAACAAAAATTGGTGCTGCTACACAGAGTAGCATGTGGCGAGCATAAAAGTAAACAGGGTAACCATACATTAGTCTGCTGTTATATATAATTCTAGTGAAAGCAAACAAAAAATCCCATCAAAACAGACTTACATAATGAACATTACAGGATCACAATACTGTTAAAAAAAAGTATGTACCCTTGTATGAAATGTAGGGTTCTCCTAATCGTGATGGCATTATAGTATTATATGTCGAAGTTCTTACAGCATCTTCCTATGTGATATCATTTTTTCAATCAAAAGCAGTCCTTTGGTTGCCGGCTCTCATTACAGTAAAATATTCTGCGAGCTAATTTTGAAAGGTATTGTTGGTTGGTTGAGAGAATCTCAAGACTTATCTTGTGATGTTGAATGCACAAAAGCTGTGTTCCGTGTAGAACATTGTACATTAATAAACTTTAAATTAATGACTATTGATTTATCTATGAGGAAATTTCAACCTACTTGGTTGTAGAGGCAGTTTCACTTCTCTCCATCCAAAATATTTACATAAGGTACAACCAAATATTCAGCTGAAGAATACATAAGGACTTTGTTATTACTACTAGTGTAGACTTTTTTCTGATGGGTAGTTCAAAAACAGCTAGAAGTTGATACAACAGTACTGTCCTGCATGCCCCACTGTTTGGAGTACCAATCTGCACAGCAGTGTAAAATCTGACTTCAAACAATTCAACGTAAAATTTTTAAACAGTTTATATTTGAGAAATTTCTGGTTTATTCTACGAATTTTTGGTGATTATGTTAGGAAAACTAAAATTCATGAATGTTATTTTGATGACTGAAATTGTCTGATTCTGAGAAAGCTATTGTTGTTGTCACATATTTACTATGTACAAATAGTTCAATTTGGCACAATCTGTTCTGAAAAAAGAAAATAATTCCATGGTAATAAAAATGAACATCTCTTACACACATTTTTCAAGTAAAGAGACTTTGTTTTCCATTGACACTTCACTTTGAATTTTCGCAGACAGGAAACAAGTCGCGTGATATGGTACCTTATTATAGATTTTTTAAATCGGCTGACATTAACGCATCGGGGTTTTCGCAATAGAATATAAAATACAGAACAAACAGTTACATTTTTCACATGGATCAAATGCAACTGATTTTCCATTACCGGTCTGTTTAAACCCTTAATAAAACACCACATACCAGGACATGACTAGCGTAGTGGTTTCGGATCGAAGACTTCCGCAGAGAGCAGCGAGCCGAGCCGAACCAACCGGACCGGAGCGCCGGAGCAAAGAAAGAGAGGGACAGAGGGACGCTTGTGTTTTGGGTCTTGGCAAAGGTTTTTCAGAGTTTTATTTAAAAATGGCCAGTACTCAAATTAAGGGCAGTGGCTGGCCACGCAGAGCAAGTCAAACTTCGCCTTTCGATCAAAAGTTTGTGAACTCTACAAACAGTGCGATAAACAGGACAATCAATTTGTAAGTAGCCTGGCGTCCGTTCATGTGTCTGAGAGAAGACTTTCAAATTGTAAAACAATGTGTGAAAGTCCTTTTTAAATGTGTTTCGGCACAGAATCATCAAGTTAACTTGAATGTTTCGTATCGTTGGAAAAAAGGGCGGTGGTGTAACTATCGGTTTTTAGTCGCATATTCATACCTAAGCTAAAGTAGCCTGTGGTGAGGTTATGTGAGCCTTAGGCATCTTGTTTAGTGTTGACACACACCACTACCTCGGTTCTTAGCGAATGTGCTTTCTTCTCACCTGTGCCTGTTATTGACTTTTGCCCGCTCTTTCTGCTTGTGTTAATTTAGATATCCACTCACTAACTACACATTTGGCACAAAGGAGCCTCTGTTTGAGAAAGATCCTTCAGTTCCTGCGAGATTCCAAAGGATGAGAGAGGAGTTTGATAAAATTGGAATGAGACGAAGTGTTGAAGGAGTTTTACTCGTTCATGAACATGGTCTCCCCCATGTACTCCTCCTTCAGTTGGGAACAACATTCTTTAAGCTGTGAGTAATGATTTAAGAGTTGATTTTTGTTCAGTCATAGTGTTTCGTAAACCTCTCACAATCAGCCTTTGTCATCTAATTCTAGACCCGGTGGAGAGCTAAATGCAGGTGAAGATGAAGTCGATGGACTTAAACGACTTTTAACTGAGGTAGGTTTATATGATGCTATTAAATGAAATCTAAAGTTTGTAAAAAATCTTAAGTGCTTCCATGTTATGTAAAACTTACATGCTATGTTCGCATATGGAGATTTTTCAATTCAATCCTATATGGATCCTGTCGATTCCAATTTTCCTTTAGGCTCCATCAACGACTTCCCAATTTGAATATCTTTGGTTCAGTCTTAATCATGTTAAATAACACAATTTTGAAACCCAGCTTCGTTACACAGTCCTATCCTTAACTATTTGATGTTGCTGTTTTGTAGTGTGGTACTTGTTCAACCTATGTAAAATATGATTTTTGAGCCATCTTTCCTGTTTAAGGTATTTTCTCAAACTGGATTTCTTCTTGTGAAAGTTTTTGTTAAAATTATTTCCCAAAGTTTGATAATGGTTGATCAATGGTTCAGTTTAATTGTGGAAGTCTCAAATCCTGAATGTTCAATCAGTGAGGTTTATGAATGTTCTAATTTTTTCCTTTTAGTATGATCTAGAGATTAATGCAACAATGCTTTATTTTTCTTGTCAATAATTGTGTTTAATCACATGTGACATTGTTCAACATCTCTAAATCTATGCTAATGATATGGACCAAACCAGCTTTTTCTGCTTCCCTGACTGAACCAAACTTATATACTTATTAATACCAAATCTTAAATTTTTGAAACATTCTTATAAAGTTTTGACCGTGTTGATACGCTCAGTAGGTTTGCAAAATTAAATTATTCAAACTTCTCTACACAATTGAAGAAAAAGTAACCTTAACTTGAAATTTTCTTGTCTGTTTTATTCTTCTATGCCTCTGTAGTTTTGTCTCTTCAACACCCAAAACTGTTTTGGCGAGGTCAATTTTCCTAAAGCTTCAGCCTCAATACTGTGCTGAAGCTTGGACATTCAAGTAGTTCCTTACTTGCGGAGAATACGAAACCCAAGTGTTTTATTGTTATAGATTTTTTAAATACCTGTTTATTCACAACACAATAGTTCCTACAATAATAATGGTGATTTGCAGTAGACCTTATCACTAAACAGATACATGAGTGTTATGAATGTTTCTATGTTATCTGTATCTGTTTATGTTACAATTCGTCCCTTCCATTATGATTTTCTTATTATTTCTTGATTCAAATTCACATTCTCTTAGGCAGTGTTTGCTCATCAGTAATAGAGTATTTGGTTGTCCGAATTATAGGAATCCGCAGTTCTAGTCACTCTTTACCTTTTGTGAATATGAATGTTCCCTCAATGAATCCCATTTGTTGGTAAAAGCATGTTATGATCACTGAAACACACTTTGTCCCATGCATTGGTTATACACTATACCATGCAACACTGTCGCAGTGAACAATTGTACTGTGGGAGGCAAAACAGGATCATGTTTTTATATCCTGACTAGGAATAGTGTTAATTTTCTGGAATTTTAAAAGTTTTTTTCTTTCCTTTTCTTTTACTTTAAAAAAAAATTAATTAGTGAGCACTGCCTTTGTTTTTAATTTCAATATGTACTTGATGGTCCCCTCAACACAAGATTTAATGTTTTTCTTTCAGCTCCTAAACTTTGTACCATCCTTTAAGAGTTGGAAAGTTGTATTCAATTTTGCACTCTGAATGTTCAGAAATTGTTTTTGGATATCTCTCTTATGAGCACTCATTATTTTCCCCTCAAAACCTCTTGTTTCTGGCATATATGTAGTTTTTGCACCAGAAATATCTTCTTTTGTCAGATATCGTACGCTTTGGCAACTAATACTTAAACCCCTAATAAATATTTGGCAGCATTTCTTTTTTGTAGGGTATTCTGATCGCTCACAATTTGCTGTGGGTGGGAATCCAACTTTTTGTATCTCATAGACTTTCTCTTAGTGCCATTGATTGATAAAACCATAAAAGTGGACAACTATTTAAACTTGCACTTCGATGTATATTGTTTGTCCCTTTAATTTATTTTTTCAACTTTTTACTGTTTTGTTTTGCATGGTCTCTTGTTTTTTAATCGTTTTTTTTTTCCTTTATAAATATTGTTTTGTATGAAGATTGTATTTTGAAGATTGTACGAAGTGGGCGTGGCGGCATTTTCCTCGTTGCAGACACTTGGTCGGCAGGACGGTGTAAAGCAAGAGTGGGTGATCGAGGACACAATAGGCAACTGGTGGCGCCCCAACTTTGAGCCTCCTCAGTATCCGTACGTGCCTCCACACATCACGAAGCCCAAAGAGCACAAGCGACTTTTCCTTGTCCAGTTGGCTGAAAAGGGTAGGAATATCTTGTGGTATTTGAACTGTTTATGTTCTTCATTACCAGTTAAATGCGTTTAATTTCCTTGAATCAACGAAACTTTTCAGTATCTAATTTATCTTAAGAACTTTGCATGCGGTCATTTTCACAATGTCTTGGTATTGCGTACTGTTTAAGCTTTGTTGGTTCATGTTCATTGAAAGTATTTTGACTGGTTGTAGATGTTGGAAGCAACATGTTTGCTTGTAGATAAATAATTCGGATAATTTTAAGTGTTATGTATCCTACATCAGTTCTACAGAACGAAACCACCTATTAATTTTAGACAGGGAATGCACTTATTAGCACTTTCATATGCGTGGTTTGAAAGTGATTCAACTTGTAATCAACAAATTACCTTAATAGCAAACTCCTTATTTGGAATGTTTCTATCCTTCTGTCTCAAATGTATCACATTTGAAATTGAAATTGCTGGAGGTTTGCGAACTAAATGAAAGTTTTAAAGGATTTTTTGTCAGACTTGCTGGTGTTTTTATAAGCTATGCAATGTCATTAAAGTCATTCATCTATTTCTCATAGGCTGTTGAGTGAAACATTGTGAGAAAGGGTTCTTAACAACAGAATATAAAGCTGTGCCTGGGTATTAGTTCTTTGATATTCAGGGATATGCTATGCTCATGTCGGCCATGACCTTTTATAACTCTCATGGTATTTTTGTATGATATGCCTTCACCAAGCTAAAAGGACCAAGGATTTGTTCTTAGTAGTTAGTTTGGTGTGACATGTCACTTGATCCTTTGCCCTTTAACTTCCATCTTGGTATTGGCATCTTGTGATTTGGATTTGAGCTATTAGAAGACATTAACTAGAATAAGACATTAGCACAGCTCCATGGACTTGTTTGGACCAGAGGCACACTAGCTTCCCTTTGCCCTTGTATCACAGTGGTTGTCTTAATTGTCCTCTCAAAATTGAATGACAGAAACATTGAGGTATTTTATTTGGATGTGCTTCTGCAGTAAATGGAAGTTCTGTGGTTAGTCCTAGAAAATGGAGTGTGACAGTCATGATATATGCTCATTTTGTCTCATGATTTTGAATTGGCTCAGTGCCCATAAGAGAAGACTTACTTCAATCTTTGTTTGGAGGGTGCCACTTTGCTGCTGTTATCCATTCATGGGTTTCTGTTCAGTGATATGGGATAATGATGGATAAAATGTGTGCAAATGTACGGCACTTTTTCCAACCAGGGTTGTGATGTGAACAAATCAGTTTAGTGAAGTTTAGTTTCAGTTTATTTTTGTACAATTACACTAACTCAAGGCAATAGGACTAATGATCTTGTTTAGCATTGAACTATCATTGCTTTTTCTTTGCTTTCTTGGTTGGGATCTTTTCCATGCATGTGTCATATTTTTGATCCACCTTTTATGTATCATATATTCTAAAATTCCATTGTGTTCACACAATATTTGCTTAAGATTGTTCCTTAACCATTTGTTTTTCTATCCTGTTCCAATTTGTGTGGAAGAGGCTGATAGTGTCACATCAATGTTTCCGAATTTTTTTCCCAAATTTTTAAAAAATAAGTAGGGTACTCTACTGTTAGTTTATATTTCTTGGTTGGCCGTTAGCTTGTTCAGCATTTCCACATCTACACCAACTCAATTTTTCTAATCCCAGCTTATAGTGGGTAGTGCAGTCTTACTGTTTCATGACCATAAATATATTTCATATCTATAAATCAATACACTTCATTGTCTACTCTCAACATATCTTGGTTACCGGTATTTCAGCGGTTTTCTACAGCATCTTTGTAAATAATGTGACAATTATTTGGCAAATCTATTCAGCCTTTATTCGTTTTTTATGCCATTAGAGAAGCTTGTACTGCAAACTTGAAATATTTAAAATATAAATCAAAAATAAATTGTTGTGAAGGGCAACTCAGCATAATTTGGAAGTTAGTGATTGTTAACTTCCATTATGTTATCTCGGATGATGAAAAATTTAAGTCTTGTAATTGTGATTTCTACTTTTTTTGTTTTACCTTCTATCAGATATAAGGAGCAATGCTGGTCTTAAATCATGATGTTAAGCTTTTCTCTGGGATACATAGATGAGATTAATTGCATGAGATTGTCATGTTGTAGGGTCAATAAATAATTATCGGACGAGGGGGGCTGTGGGTTAACTTATACTAACTTCTCTTGGATTATTTGTTAATTTTGTTAGAAGTACAATTTTATTTTAATTTTGCCAAAAAAGCCATTTTGCTCTCAATATTACTTTGTTCATTCAACCTACAGTTCAGTTCTAGAAAACTTGGTATATTCTGTGATACACAATTTGTTAGATGTGACATTACCTTAAGTTTTGGTGTCTTGTTTCATATGTGGTGTTATTTTATGGCCATTTATTACTCAGATTTCTTCCTATACCTAATATTTGTTTTCCTTTTTTCCAGCTCTTTTTGCAGTTCCTAAAAACTACAAGCTAGTTGCTGCTCCCTTATTTGAACTGTATGACAATGCTCAAGGGTATGGCCCTATTATTTCTTCATTACCTCAAGCCCTCTGCAGGTAAGGCTATTTTTGGTATCATTTGTTAAACCAATGTAACTTAAACCTCAATTCTAAGTTGTTATAACTTAATTTGATTCCTTTTCTAGGTTCAACTTTGTATATTTGTGAGGGTTAATTCATGCTTCGCCTGCAAAAAGGCGGAGTTGTGATTCTTTGAAGCTGGAAGTGACGAGAAATAATATTTTAGCAGCTGATCATCCAATTGTGGACTCTTTAGATGAGACTTCTGTCTCATTGGCAAGTGAAGAGAGTGATAGTCAGGATGAGAAAGAGTTACCGGTTTAAATTTAAAACTTGTGTGAATTTGGTGTCACCTTTCTGTATGTTTGGATGTAAATCTTTTTTATATTTTTAGATTAAAGAGTAGAGTTCTTTTAGTGTATTAGATCTGGAAAAAAGGTATGACTGCTAAAAGAAGTGTATTATTTTTTCCCTCTTTAAACATATTATTTAGCTTTGAATTTTGAGCACTTACCTACCTTATTCTCACAGGGAACTTTTGTTTGGCATAAGTGACCTGAATGCTCATTAAGTTTGTCAGCTATCAGACTTGAAGTGAAAAATGTATGGGAATACACATGTTTTCCTAAATGATCTCCCTCTGTGGTCAGTTTCTTTTAATTCTATTGTAGGGTGTTCTACAATAATTTTTTTCTGTTACTGTGATTCCTTATCACTTTGTAATGCTATGTTAAAGGATTGTGTCATATACATATTATGTTTTCTATTTCTGACTGCTTGAGTTGTCTCTGAATGAATTGTCTGGTATAGTCTCTCCTGTGTCAGGAAGATGATGTTAATTAATGACCCATTATAGCGTTTCAATGAAGTTTAGGCCACCTGCTGCCATGTAACAATCAGATTTTATCACCACTTTGCTTCAGTTAAAGTCTTTTTGTCTTGTAATGTTTAAAGTGTAATTAATTTTTGACCAATCATTCAGCATGACTGTAAAATGAAAAGCTGATGATGAGCGATATTGAAAGGAATGAAATAAGCTTTGATACCTGTCACATAAAAGCAATAGATTAAGTCGACGATGTTCCAGTTGGGTGTCTTCTGACTCGGTCCGAAATTCCTGTCAGGCCAGTAACAAACATTACATTTTTATGACAAAATGGCATTTTCATTTCTTTGCAATAAACCATAGTAATAAACATGTGGTGTTTCATTTCCACCGTCATGGTCAAATCCTCTCAGACAGCAAAAATGTTTCTCTCTCCTTTGTTTTAAGAAGAATAAAAATCAGTAAAATACTAATGATTGGCTCTACTACACTTTGACCTTCACACCACTGTTATTCATCAGGTTCAATGTTATTTTTTTCGTGTTTCGAGAGGGAAGGGGTTAAGTAGCGTGTCCAATAATGTGAGCGTATTTCGTGCCGGTGAGCGGGAGGGCGCTGGCACTGGCGCTACGCTACACCTCCCCCTTTCCATCCAGCCCGGCCCGCCCGTGCCACCTCGCCGCCGCTGCCGGGCCGAGCGCGCGCAGCACCGCGCCGCGCGCCGCGCGCACACAGCAGCCAGTGTCCAGAGGGCCTTCCTACGGTGCGCATCGAGTACGTCGCGGAGCAGCACAGGCTCAGAGGAGAGGCCCCCGCAGCATCGCGAGCCCCCGGGAGTGTGTGGCGTGGCGGAGCGTAGTAGCGTCGCGGCGCGGTGCCGCCGAGCCGAGCGTAGCGTAGCGGAGGAGCAACCCCCATCGCGCGCCCGACCTGCCGAGCCGTCGTGCCGGCAAGTGCGAGGCGAGGCGAGTGTCGTCTGCTTGCGAAACGCGAGTGTTTACTTTTGTGTGCCGGAGTGCGCAGTTGTCGCAGTCGTCGTGTGAGTGAGTGAGTGAGTCGAGGGGCCGGGTGGGCCGGGTAGGCGCCGCCGTCGGGGCTGTTGGAGTAACGGCGAAGCACTTGACGGCTGACACGCTGGCTCCCTCCTTATTACAACAGGTGAGTGTCCTTGGCAGTTTACAGCAATAAGTGAACAACGCCAGCTCAGGTATGCGCGGCGCCCAGCCTCCAATTTAGTGTTTGTGTGTGTGTGCGTGTGTGTGTGTGTTCCCCTGTCGCCGTCACACACAGAGAGCAGTAGGGGTGAGACGGCGGGGGGATGGTGTCAGGAGCTCAAGAAGTGTGTGGTGCTGTACGAGGCCGGCAGGCAAAGCAAGAAAAAAAGGACGAACAGACGAGTAAGACTTGAAAAAATAAAACGCGGCCCGACGGCCACTGATGACTCGGCGCTGGTCGAGATATTACGCGGGACCCCTTTTCTATCGAGAATCTTCCTCCGCAAGCTGCTCTTCGGACGAGACGGATACGCTGGGTACGCTTCATCACGTCCAGCGGAGTTAACGGGCTGAGTGGCTCGGCGCTGAGTGGAGAGGAGACCAAGTCACAGTACTTTAGTTGGCATTTCCAACCCCTGTTTCCCAACATCCCTCCCCCGCATAGCTCGGACTCCAAACAAGTCCTCCTCTCTCGCCCGTGTAGTTCCCTGACCACCACCATCAGCGGCAGGCCATCTCCTAGGGTCAAGTAGCCCGAAAAGTGCTAATTAAAATTCATCAAATTATATCTCCGTCTGCATAAACTGCGACTTTCTCGGTATTAAAACTCTTCAAAAGTTGTGCGGGGATACGCAAATGAAATTCCGTGCCTCTCCCCGCGCCGACTTTAAAAGCAGAGCGGCCGGGGCGAGGCGGGAGTGCTCTCGGGGTGCGCCTCTGGCCCGTCTGGTCTGGGCGAGAACACCCGAGGACACCGCCCCGGACGCGGCCAGCCCTCGCGCACCTCGGCCGGCCCAAGCCAGACCGAATGAATTTTGCGTAATAAATTAGTGTCAGTATTATGGGGAAGTGGAGGGGGGATAAGCTTGGCCGCGCGGCAAATTCGTAATAAACCCACCTCACCTTTATCTATAGAATTATTTCAGACTTGAAATTGGCGCTTTTTTTATTTTCCCCCCGGGGCTGCTGAGCTGCTGAGCAGTAGGGGGAGGAGGGGCGGAGGGACGGTGGGGTAAAGGTTATTGCTAGGACGGTCCCTCTCACCGGAGGGTCGTTGCGGGTGGCCCCTCGGGATGGACCAGCAAGGGCGGCCGAGGCAGGTTAGGGGTTGAAAGGCGAGGGCCCCGAGTGGGGGGGTAGTAGGGGTAGATGGGGGGGGGGAGGGGGTTGCGGGGGAGCTCGCAGGGCACTGCAGGGGTTGCCGCATTGTGATTTATGGTGCGGGCACAGAGACATGGAGCTGCGCGACGCCCCGCTCTGCCGCCCCGCCTCGCCTCGCCTCGCCCCGCCCCGCCGCGCCCCGCCATCGCTATTCCCTCGTCCGCCAGCCAGCCAGCAGCGACGGCATGTGTCGTCAACAAAGATCGAGTGACCTCTCGACTTGACAGACATTCCGGGACGGGGCGGCGCGCGCGCCCACCCGCGGGGACAAACCCCCCGTCCTTTATCGAATCCCTCGGCGTGTGTATTTTGCGGCTTCGGGGCGCGCGCGCGGCTTTTCACCCTAAACTCATCACGTCATTTCCACCCC